TTCGATTGATTTAGTCATAAATTACACACTTACATATTGTTGGTGGTTTATAGTGGGAATTTTTCGGTTAACAACCGTGGTAAATCAAAAAGTGCCTTGTTCCACTGCTCACCTTGTTTTCAATCGGCTCTTTAGAAATTTATCAACGCAAATTTTCAAGTATTTTGTTTGATCCAAGTAAACCTGGTGATCAGCGCTACAAAGTTAATACAACAAATTTGCTCATTTGATTGCTCAATTACTTCTTGTCAGGAAATTCATATTCTTTATATTGTCACAAATTGGTGGCTAAGAGTTTTCTGATCAGGAAACAGATGTGTATATCAACGTTACATACTGTTTAACACTTAGTCATAATATATACCTGTATGAGTTTTTAAAAATCGAGACTCATTTAATTTATCACTTCAAAGATATTGACGTCCATTTGCGACTAGAAAAATATCAAAATTATACAAGTTTATGCTCATTTTTCAGACAATCGTTCGGGATTATTTTATTTATGTAAATCTCTTTTATAGGCTGTAGTTCCACTTTTCTGTAGTTTTGTTTCTTTAACGGTCTAACAAGTGATTGTGTATCGGATTGTCAGTGGAGACAACAACATTTATTACAACTTATAGACACATCCAACCAGTAATTCTTAATTTAGGACACTTAATGAGCGCCTTTAGTTTTATTACCAACGATTATAAAATTTAATTTTGTATCTATTGATTATTCAGTAAATCTTCTAATGAAGTGTTTCCACGAATAATCAATCAATAGTAGTGGGAAAATGTGTAAATATAAGAATACTTACTGCGTACAATTAAAACAATATTGAATTTTGAGGTAAACTTAATTGATCAAATTGTACTTGTTATAGTACGCATTTGATCATTGTTAATAGTATTTTATTTACAAAACTTAATCTTTTCGTGTGGAAAAAAGTGTAACAATTATTCCCAATTGTTTTGTTTATATAAATTGATTCTATTCAAATTGTAGTCTAGTCAAAGTCAGGAGATATATAAGTGGACTGATTTTAGTTTTTGAAATTTAGGGTCTGTAAACAGCATTTTAATTTACGAATCTAGAGTTCAACATCATTACCCAACGTTTCCAACATTAATTGTTGTAGAATATCACTTATTTGGGCAGTGATTTTCCAGGTAGTTATTAACTAGCCTCATGGATTGGTACTGAGTTTTTTCTAGGTTATAATGATTTTTGTCACATTCTAGCCTGATTTAGAGTTAGGATATCTTTCCTTGGATTTATTCATTGTCTCCCCTAAGAGAAATTATAGATATCTCTTACATGCTCCATCTAATAAGGCTTACTCTGTTTTATTGTTGATTGAGACAGTATACTTTTCGCACAAGCTACTCTATTATACTATCTCAGGTTTATGAGGTAGCTGAGTGGTGTTCTCATTATTATTGTCCATAAAATTGAAAATACTTTGACCTAAACCGTGGGATTTCATATTGTTTTTCTTTGTACATAAACTTATAACGAAGACTTCTCTTATTTTATAGTTCACCATTCTTTATTTCTCTTCAGATTAATACCGACTTGAAAAACTTATTGGTATCTGCTTTGTCTGGTAATTTAAATGTGGCTCAACAGCTAATCGATTTAATGAGTAGTAATGCATACCTTTGTGGTCAAAGTGAAGGTTTAGCCCGTCAGAAATCTGTTCTACAAGAAGCCGCCGACACAGCCGAAATCGTAGCTGATGTATGGCAGACAAAATGTATTGCTAGTCGTGCTGTAGCAGGTGAAGCCGCTAAACATGCTACCATGTCAGTGCACCAGGCACATTTAGCTCGACACGCGCTGGCACATCTTCTTGGTGAACGTGCACAAATCCGTCGATATCTAAGTCAAGCAATCCCTTTGTTGTCCAATTATTGTAATAAACACGATATTAAATTAAATAAACTGACTAATCAAACATGTAGCACACTAAGCTTGGCATCACTGTGTTTTGATTTGGCTTTAGAGATATCACCGAATACTAGTATCCAACCAATGTATTGCTCTTCTGATACACTTGGTGAAGAGTTGGCACAATATGTAAGTGATCGTTTTTTATTCCTGTACAATTTTTTTTCAACTTTAATCAAAGCACTTGTATTTTAGTCGGTAAGAATTAAAATCAGCCAGCAAAGTATTTGGTACCTATAAACAAAGAGATCTTTCAGATTTGGAAAACTATTAAATACTCCTTGTACATGGTTTCGCTCTCATCTTGTTTTATTGGTTCGAAAATATGGCAAAAGACATTAGTTGACTACTACTTTATTTATATATTATTTTATTTGGTCCATATTATATGAACATGAAAATATAATTAATAGTAGTTATTCATTCACGTACTCGTGTATGACGTCTTACACAACCATTACCTAGTCATGTTGTACTTCACTGTTAGTCTAGTTGATACATGTGAACTTTCTATAACGAGATCCCCAAAGTAACATATATCAATAATTGGAAACTGTGATATGTTTCTCGGTCAAATGCACTGGCGTTCACATTCCATGTCTGAACACTTAACTGTGTCTGCTTCTCCTTTTTGACCCATAATATTTTCATTCCTTTTAATATCCTTTTGTTCCTGTTGATCTCTTTTCCCTATGATGACGTAAAGCGTGGCAACCTGGTTCATCATTCCCGTGTGCAACTTTATATGTTAGTGTCATAAAAGGCGATGGAGAAGCGCTTAGGTTGTCTCGATCCAATTCAAGCTAGGTTTAACGAAATAATACATTGTTACGGTATCATTGATCTGATATATTCGTCCAGTATTAAACTCCAGATGTTAAAAAACACATTACCACCACTGTCAATCTTAGTGTTGTCGTATCATTTAACCCATTAATTTGAAGTCGGAGTTGTCTATGTTCAGAGAAGTTGTCCACAGCCATATTAAATATTATTTTGGCATAGTCAAATACAGATCATTGTCTCACTAATTATCGGATTCCTACAACAGCTTTCAGTTGATGTAACCTAAGAAGCGCATGAAAGTATTTAGTTCCATTCCTAATGACTCTCGAAGCCTAATTGAGTGATAATGTTCTTAAAAAGTTAATATTAAACCTGCAGCAAAACAGGTCTGGTATTTTAAAGGTGACAAAATACCAGAAAAGTGCATTCGACAGGTCGATACTTACTCAGAGGTAATCACAGTGATCGTCTGTAAAAAATCCAGCCTTAGTTTTCTCAATTGAAGTACACTAGCAAACAGGTGGTCGTTACCATAAATTAGTCCGTTACGACAGATACTGACGGACTACTCGACAGGTAGTGACCCAAATAACGTCTTATTCAAAGCTGATTGAAGAACCCAGTACAGCTCATTGGTATGACAGTGACAAACAGACATCTAGTTCGATTAAAAGGAGGGTTGGAAAAAGCATTTGAAAATAAGTATCATACGCATAGTCTCCAGGTGAAAAACATTTTCATTTTTACAGCTTTGTACCACTTAAATTTCCAGTTTACTAAAGCAGAGTTTGGTCGATGATTTTAAAAAGGTGCACTGAGTAGTCAATGCTATGGTATTTTTGGTCTATCGCTATCTGCCTTCAGAAAAGTACTCGACTTATCCGTAATACTATACTTGACCCAACCACTGACAACCTCTACTAACATCCTTATCACACATTTGAAGTGACTGCATAATATGAAATTCGGTCATTGTGTATAGTATTTTCTTTTTTCTAGGTTCTGACAAGAGTCAATAATAAGAATATTCTTAAATATGACTGTATGTTTCCCACCACATCAACTGTTTTTGACGCTTCAACAACTGCCCTATCTGCAATACCTCCTCTGGAAACAACTGAAACAGATGATTTACTTTCGAAAACACTTGAGTTATTTCAGTCTACTGGAAAACAGAAGCATAATCTAGAATTGTTTTCTTGCTCGAAATGCGTGGGAGATGTTCTTGTGATATGATTGCAGCTTTGACAAAGAAACATGGCTGTTACTTTCTGAAAATAACATTTAACCTCAAATTCTTTTATACTTCATTACAGATTAATCCTAAAATAAGGTATTTATTATGGGTTTTCTCTCAACTATTTCGTTCTCGTTATCTTGATGTCAGGTATGACTATCAGGGTTGGCGATGTCATTCCTCGATTCTTTTGGGCTTCTCATCACTTAACGCACATCACTATTATAACTTGATAATTAGTATTGTAGTGTATAAACACATGCTGCTCACTAGTTGCAGTGGCATGTATCTTGAAATTCAAATACGGCCTGTATTAGAAATCACCAGTTCGGACCATTATCGAGACATTGTCATGTATACATAAAATAGGTACGATGCAACGCAATTAGAGCGTGTGCAGTTTAGAGTTGCTACTTGAAAGCAGCCTTCTCGTTAGAGCCGAAAGTTGTCGGTACAACACGTGTACTCAGTGAAGTTTTCATGTCGGAGATATTCTCCGCTTGTGGCTACGTAGCTGGACATACTGCACTGGGTGCTGTACCTCGGGAATATCGTCTGTAATTTCAGTCTAACTGGAATGTCTAGTAGCCACTGATATATGTTGTATGTATGTATGTTGCATTCGGTGAACCTTACGCATAGCATGTCAGTCACAACGTAGAACTTCGTACGTACGTACATCAGTTCGAGTTGCCATACCACATTAGCACAGAGATGCAGTTGTCGATTCAAATCCCATTGTAGTAAAAGCAGTAAGAGTATAGGCAATAATGTGAAAGATTAGGGTTTGAAGATATTATTCAAGGAGTATAACCCAGTGAAATAAATTTGGAAAGAAAAAAGGATATTGATATAAAGAATTCTAATTATAATTTGGGAGAACACAAACAATGGATGAACCTTCGCTATTGCAAACGATCTTGAGCCGTGTTTTTCAAGGTCTCTAACCATCAATTGCTATCATCTCGCAAATCCCAACCTTACCCGGATGGCTCAGTCCAATTGTCGGTGATTTCACGGACTTGTGCCACGTTTTGGTCGCCCTTAGCTTTCTTCCTACTAACTCCTACACCATAAAGCATTGCACGTCGGTGGTTGGGCATACGTAACACGTGTCCCA